TAAAATAATGTAAATTTTCAGGCTCAGGAAAATTTGAAGTAATAACCAGAGATGAAATCATGATAGCTTCTGGAATTATTCGATTAGAAGAAAATAGGAAGAAATATATTAATGAAAACATTTTAATAAAAGAAGAAATAAAAATTTTCGACGAACAAAATATTTACTCGAATCTTCTTTTACATGGTTACCAATATGAAGAATCTTACAATATTATTAGCGGACTCTCTACATCGTGTTCTAATGGAACGCTTAAATGGAGCAGAGACTGGGAGTTATTACTAGAAGGATTAGTTCAAGTCCATATTATCAGCAGTAGGAATAAAAATATGTTGGTACCGAGTAAGATACAAAAACTCGTCATTGACATGGCACAATTAACAGCAAAAATGAAAGAAAACAATAGTAGGTATTTAAAACTTAATATTAATTATTAAGTTTAAAATTATAATTATTCATAGTTATATTAAGATACAATATAGATCCAGAATTTGAAAACTTGTCAAATTCTGTACAAAATAAATAGAAATTAAAATATATGTGTAAAGCACCTTAAGAGCATGGACTAAAAGTAAATAAATTTCAATTTCATTTTTTTACAATTAAAGAGTAAAAAAAAAATTCCTATAGATTGATTTGAATTTTGCTTTGAGAACAAATTATTTATAGCTGCTGCTGAAATTTGTATAATCGTACTCCTATATATAACGATTTAGTGAAACACAATTATAAGATACTCGACCACTAGTTAAAACATAAATTATTAGTCAATAATATCTCTTAAGATAATCTCTCTAAGATTTCTAATCACTTATTTAAATATTGTGTTTATAAATTTTACCACAAAAAATAAWGTCACGTATCATAAATAGTTTAAGAATCAATATATACAATACTAATTTTTGTTCATAGCATTACCGATGAAGTTTGACAAACGGGTAAAYGTAATAGCTTGCCCCGGAATTGAAATGAGTGGAATTCAGTTTAAAGAAATAATATTTAAACACAGGAATGGGAAAATTGTTGCTGATGAGCTTCGATTTATCCAGAATATCAATGAAACAAATATGAATATCAGCGACATATTAAACGTTGTACTAGGATTAATTTTAAAAAATAGTACAGAAAAGATATTAGTAACAAATGAGTCAAAAAACAAAAATGAAAATATTTTAGAATTTCTCAATAATATCATACAACGGATGAGGAAAAACCTTAATATAAAATTAATTACGAGAGAGTTGCTTTACCAGAAATTAGATGAAAATTTTATTTTGACGATTATAAATAACGCGCATTATAACGATGTAAGAAAACTTATTAGCACTCTCGGTAAAGAATCATATTTATTAACAATCGTTGAAACGAAAGAAGAATATAATGCGATTTCTATATTGACAAGTGTGGGATTAAACGTCGTCCTAAGGATAAAAATTGCTAACTGTCGTACAGCTCTACTTTTACATAAAGAAAAAAACGTAGGAAAAACTGTTGTCGTTTATAGCCAAGAAAACTGTTTGGATCGGTTAAGAATCTGTTTACGAGACTTGAAAT